TTTGAACTCTGCATCTGATAAGTTGGCTATCTCTTTGTTGCTTAGTTCTATTTTTGGAGTTTTGATCTGTTCTTTCATTTGGGCCATATTTCTTTCTCTTGGCACACCTATTAGGTGGTAAGGGCCAGAGACTTAGGTGTTCACTAGGGCGGGGCAACCCATGTCACTGTGTTGTGGTGCTGCACGTGGAGGAGGGGGTCAGAGAGGGATCAATGCCACTTGCTTGGCTCTTGCCCCTCTTTCAGTCATGTCCCCTCCTTCCCACAAGTGAATTGAACCCTTCTGGTGTGGATTCCCAGGTGGGTGGGTTTGTGTACATTCTAGGATCCTGTGGGCTCCTCTTTTTTGAGATTGGGAGTTTCTCCCATCACCATAACCCCCATAGGTTTTTACAGCCAGAGGTTTTGAGGCTTTCTTTTCCCATGCTAGAACCCTGGGTTGCACAGTCTGTCTTGCTCCCCAGTTGTTCCTCTTGGTTTATCTGCATGAGAATGTGGGACTGTTGGTCTGCCAGCTGCCGCCTCGCCAGCCTAGTCTGCTAGCTGCCGCCTTGCCACGTGTCCTCCCAGCGCTGGCCAATCTCTGCCCCTCCTACTATCTGGGTGAATATTTCTTCTTTAACTCCTTGGTTGTTGGGCTTACATACAGTTCAATTTTCTGGCAGTTTTGTTTTTAAATTGGTTGTCATCCTTCTTTTGGTTGTGTGGGGAAGCAAGGCACATCTGCCTATGCCTCAATTTTGGCTGGAAGTCATCAAAAGTTTTTTTTTTAAAAATAAATATTCTGTTAATATGTCACATGGGACAGCATATTGAGGTAGTTTTATTGAAATGAATCAACCTCAGCTCTCTTTCTTTATCTCTTCTCCAGACTCCACTTGGAGCACTCTTGCAGAAAGGGGCTTTGTAATCTTAACACCTAGCATGTGCAATCAACTGATGCTTTATAGATATTTGAATAAATAATATACACATGTTCTTGATATATAAAAAATATCAGGGAACTCATTACAGTGGTTGTTTCTGGTGAAAATAACTTAGGAATGGAGTCAGACCCTCCCCCAGGCCCCTCCCCACCGTCCCCCTGGTTTGAACTTTTCCTATGTGTATTATTGTTAGCAACAAACAGCACCAGTTTTAGACCTTGGCCCTTTGGCTCTGGCTAAGGAAGAATTCAGAGCCAAGATTCAAATACAAGGAAGAGATTATTTAGAAAATCACAGAGATAATAGAAGTGAGCCAGTTGAGCTGCGTGGCCTCAGGAAGCAAGTTACAGAGGCAAAAGACGAGCCTTTGGAGCTTAGGAGAGAGAAAGCAATGGTATATTCCTTCAGGGAAGAAAAGGGGAAAGAAAGGTGTGGACTTTCTCTGGAGACACAGAGAGAGGGATAAGGAATGAGAGAATACTGGGAAAAAAAGGGAGGTAGGACATGAGAGAGAGACAGGGAGAAAGCGAGCCCATGTGCATGCTCTGGGTCCTTAGTCTTGAGGGCTTTTGTCTGGAGTTCTCAGCAGGAGGATCTCAATAGAATATTCATCAGCTTTTCAGGTGTGTCTCCTCTGGGTTGTGGTCTCCATTGTATGGTTGGTGCCAGGGCAGGGGATCATTAGTCATGGAAGCTTGTCCTGATGTCAGCCACAGCACTGCGCTACCTGGTCTTGCTGCTTTTCTGGGCCTGGAGCTGAAACACAACTGAAGCCTAGATATCATCTCTAGTTTGACCAAAACTCTGTCTCTGTGGTCAAAAGACCCAAGGCTTTGTTCCTGAGATTATTTGAGGCAGGTCAGAACCTCATTATCTTGAGGGCTTAATGCTTAAGGGGGTGGTAATGCAAAGGCTTACATGGGAGTTTATGAGGCTCTTCTCTGCCCCTCCTTGTTCCTTCTTGAAGTGAGTCTATCACATGACTAGTGACATGCCAGGGGAGGTAAAGTCAGGGGAAGATCTGAACTGTATGACCTATGGTATGAAAGGTTAGGGAGTCTAAACCCCAGGGCCAGTGATATACCAGGGAAAGAAAGGTTACCCTGGAGGTGAGGTCCCACCTTACAACTGCCCCTTGTTAGGCACCCAGGGCTTTGCACCCTGGTGACCTTCCATACCTAGCTTATTGTTTCTACTCTGCTCCTAACTGCCTACTATATCACTATCTAAACCATATAACAAATACATATTTATTTATTTGAGCCAAGCTAACAAAATATGCCAGGGAGCAAGATCTCAAAAGCTCTGTAGAATAACACTTTTGTAAATACATAGTTTTTAAAAATAATTTTCTCCAATTACAGTTGATATACAATATTAGTTTCAGATGTACAACACAGTGATTAGACATTTATATAACCTATGAAGTAATAATCATCCTAATAAGTTTCGTACCCATTGGACACCATACAGTTATTACAATATCATTGACTATATTCCCTATGCTGTAATTTACACCCTCATGACTATTTTGTAACTACCAATTTGACTGCTTAATCCCTACCCCTTAACAAATACATAATTTTAAGAAGAGCCAGATTTCCTAGTATCTTCTTTAACAGATTTTCATCTTATTTTTAGTGAGAAAGGCAAGTGTTGGGGAAAAGCCCCAAAAGTTTAAATTCAGTATGGATTCCAAAGAACTGACAGATAGCATATTCAAATTCCTAAGAGCTTTAATAGGAGAAACTTACATATGCAAGCAAAGCAGTTGCCTACTGCCAGTGGTGGCCAGCTGAGAAAACCACCCCTTTCCAGGACAGGGTCTCTTTTGGGGTGGGGTTAATAGTAAAACCATATGGTGGGTAGTCATGTAGACCACTGGAAAGAACAATGCATTTCTAAGTTAACAGATAACATCAGGCAGTTATCCACAGTCTGTACATTCATTAACCTCTTTCCTGGGGGCATGATATTTATCTTTGGGCAGCATTCTTTGTAGTCAGCCAAGCCTGAGGCTACAGAAAGTTAAGCAGTCATAGAAGGTTAAACAGAGTCCAATATTTCCCAGACAGTTTTCCTGTTGGAACTATAGTCCATCTCTGATTTCCCCTACAGCAAGTTGTAGAAGAAATAAGACATAGCCATGAGTCTCTTAACGATGGGGGTACATTTTGAGAACTATGTTAGAGGTGACATCACAGAGTGCACTTACGCAAACCTACATGGCTATATGGTGTAGCCTATTAGAGGAAGAAAAATAACTTTTCCTCTACTTTGCTGGGTTCTTGGCCGAGACATCCCTGTATTAAAAGACAGCTTAACAGGAGAAAGACAAAAGTTAACAACATGGGAGAGACTCTGGAAAACTGAGTAACTCATCAAAATGGCTGAAGCCACCACCTTAAATACTATCCTCAGCTGAAGAGAAAAGAAGATAATAGTGGTGGGGGGAGTCAGTTATGGGAGGTTACCTGGAAAAGCAGAGTAAACAAGGAAGGGTGAGGTTGTTACTCAGATTTTAGGTTTTAGTTTTCTGAATTGGTAAGAGTTTGCAGAGGTACGGAGGGAGCCACCCTTACAAATGGAGATTTCTCTTACAAATGTAAATCTCTTACAAGGGTAACTTCTACTTGGTTTTCATAGCTTATCCCACATCTGCTTTCTTAAAATTAACCAGGCTAAAATAATCCTTACGCCAAATAGACATTGTTTTTGGGTAACAAATTATATTCCCCTACAGCTACAAACCTGCACAGCATTTTACTCTATTGCATGCTGGAAGCAATGGTAATATAATAGTAAGTATTTGAGTAGTCCATTGAGCTACAATGTTAGGACGAGTTCTAAATCACAAGGGATAGGAATTTTTCAGCTCCATTATAATCTTACCATGGTATATATCAATATACCATGGTATATATCAATATAAGAAACATCCAAATCTGTGAGAATTTTTATGCGTTTATTTGAGCCAAACTGATGACAATTGCCACGAAGCAAAATCTCAAGGGATTGAGAAAATGTTGCAGAGAATGGCAATTTTGCACCTTCTTTTATACATTCAAATCAAAGGAGGAGGCATAAAGAGGGTTAATGAAATTAATTGGTGATACATTAGGGAGGCAGGAGAAAGCAAAGGTGGATATGTAGGTGGAATTTCTGGGATTAGATAAAAAGTAAAACGAAGAGGCAAATACTTCTTTTACATTGGTGGGTATAGGATAGTTAACAATAACATTTATAGCACATAGAGATGGTATGTGGCAGGAACAAGAAAACAGTAAGGAACCCTGTGGTCTTGAACTCTGGTGGGAGATTATGCCCTGAGGGGTCTGAAAAAAAAGGCATTACTCAGGCATGCCAAAGGTATGTTTATCTTAGATGCAAAAAGACAATAGACGGGCTCAGTTAAGGTAAAGATCGACCTTTGTTAAGGAAGATGCTGGGCAAGGACATGACTACCTGCCTTGACTCACTTTTAGTTAAGCAGTTTTAATTATAGATCATCCTATGTTGTTACTTTCAGTCTCTGAGTTTATTTATAAGACCTCCCCTGAGCTTATCAGGTTTAGTATATGATCCCTTCTTCATCTATATAGAGGTCATTTTGTTGACTAAAATGTCCTTATGTAGCACGTGACTACATTCGATCCTATTTTTAAAATAACTACTAAGACGCAAAAATAAATCTTACCTAGGATTTATTTTTGCAGAGAAGTGGTTTAAGCCAAAGGAGAAAGGTGGCAGCCGGAGAAGGGGAGGGGCAAGTTAAACTGCGCGTCCCACCAAGCCAGAGAGGCCCCTCGGCCAAGCGCCCCAATCCCCGCCCATTGGACGTAAGCCTTGTCCCAGACCTGTCCTCCGTACCTAGATCCCACCCCCAACCCTTTTCTCGGTTCCTCCGACCCAATCCCAGAGCCTAACCTCACCCCCTCAGGTAATTAAACTAGAATTTCTGCTTTGAGGTTGTATTTAGAGGGCTTCTACCTTCGGGCCACTGCGTGAAGCTTTCCTGGCCCTGAGGAGTGGGAGCCCATAGCTACTTCCGCTCCCAGCGGCCCGAAGACCGGAAGCGAAAGTGCGCTGGAGCCGCGGCAGCGGCGGTAGCGTTGGCCTTTGGAGGCTGCGCAGGGGACCCCAAGGCGTGCTGCGGTGGGAGTGTCTGTCGGCGGTTTGCAGGTGTGGTCTGGCCCCTCGGAGGCGCAGGGAGAGCGCGGAGAGGCCGGACGGCGTGGGACAGCTGCCCTGGCCGAGGTCCCTCCTTCCCCAGGTCGACCTGGGGCCGGGGCGCCCCACACCCCCGCGGCCCACTACCTCGCCCTCAGGTAACCCCCGTCCTGGCAGACCGGACTCATTCATCTATCCGAAGAGAAACGACGAAGTGCAGTCCACGTCCTGCAGCTCAGTAATAGTGACACCGGCCAGCCCCAGCCTTCACCCGTCCTCCCGTATTTGTAGGGTCCCACCCCATGGCCCTTATGCAAGATAACTGTTCATAAGCAATTCATGTTTTATTTAATAGTACTTCATATTATCTAGCTCTGCAATGGGAAAGTTAGGTCAAAGTCTATATGTGCAAGTTGATTTCAATGACTTGTCAGGTAAATTTTAAGAAAATGGAATGAATGCATCCTTTATCAAGGGATAGATTAAATGACGAGATTTTTTTTCTTTAATTTTTATTTTTTGGTGACTGATGATTTGCAGTTCCTGAACTTAGGACCCGTTAAGTTAGTTTCTGTTGCCTTTTCCTTTCATTTCTATTTCTTTAAAAAGGGCTTTTAATTTGTGCCTTTGTGAATACCAGTTTTTTTCACTGCGAGGTGAGGGTGTCTTAAGAAAAGCTGTTTTTCAATTATGTCAGAAGTCTTATCATCAAGGAAACGTAAGCAGCTCAGTTCTCTTCACTTGGGTTCAGTTACCCCGAGCCTGTAAATTCCTACAAAGCTTCAAAACACGTGGGACTCCAGGATAAAGGTGACATAGTTTTGTTAGTAGTAGGAATTGAGATTGAGTTGGTCATAAATGGGAAGTTTTCTTTTTTTTAATAATAGAGTTAAAGCTCTTTACTCAGAAATGAAAATGTTAATTCTGGAGGAAAATGAAACATTAGATTTCAATTCTATGAGCAAGATGTTTGTTTTTGAAAATAATACATGTCTCATCTTGCCTTTTTAGAAAGAATTAATGTTCCTTAAAGACATCTGAAATCTCTTGTGGATTGTGTTATACGAACAGACATTTTTAAATCATTTTTATATTGATTTTTGTGGTATTATGTTGTTTTGTGTGCCTGTATGTGCCTGTATTAGGCAGGTGTTGGCAAACTATGGACTGTGAGCCAAATCTGACCCAGTTTTGGGTTCTGTAAGTAGTTTTATTGAAACATTTTTTTATTTTTCATTTTTTAAATGTTTATTGATTTCAGAGAGAGAGAGAAACATTGATTGGTTGCCTCCCATACATGCCCCAACTGGGGATCAAACCTGTAAGCTAGGTATGTGCCCTCATGAGGCATCAAACCCCTAACCTTTGGTATATGGGACGACTCTAACCACCTGCGCCAAACTGGCCAGGACGTTTTTATGTGTTCTTTATGACTGTTTTCATGCTGCAACCACAGTTAAATAATTGGTATAGAGACTGCATGGCCCATAAATCCTAAGATATTTACTATCTGGCCTTGTACAGAAAACGTTTGCCAACCCCTAATATATAAAGTACTTAATATGCATCAAGTACTATGCCGGTGGCGGAATTTGGGGTCCTCAAAAAAGATACATATAGGCCTATACTTTGTTTATATCATGGTTGGAGAGAGAGGAAAAATCACCCAAATATAAAAATCACAACTGGATAAAAACAGTGGGGAAAGTAGAGGTTGTGAGAGGTATTTTGAAGTAATATGAGGACAAATGATTCTTCTGTTAGGTGAGAGGCAGTGGTAGAAATGGTCAGTAGTATAAATGGAAAGGTGGTGCGGGCCTTCCCCAGCCCAATGTATTGTTTATTGGGTTTTCACTTGGTGGACCAACAAAATGGAATGACCTGAGTTAAACCTCTGTTTGGTGTTCTGCTTCTACCCTCACCCCTTCTTATACTTGGTCTCCTATTGCAGGGAGGATGCCTACTGAGACCTTCAGTCCTGGTGCCGGTGTCATGGTGAGGGGTTGGAGAGCTGGAACGGCCGGGGGGTGGGTAATTACGGACTCTGAGCTCTGTCCCCTGTCTCCTCAGCATCAACGGACAAAGAAAGGGGAGGGGAAGTGTGGAGCACCTTCTGCCCGGCTCCAGGGGACCTGGCGACCTTTTTCAGTGCCTGACCTCTGGAGGGAGCTGGCTTTGGAGGACAGGCCCCAGGCCTACTTCCGGAACCTGACTGCAGAACGGGGCTCCTTTAGAGCTGGCTGCAGAGCTCCTCTAGGGCCATCCTTGCTCTCCCTTGTGAAACCCACTGTAAACACATGGCTGTAGAACTTTAACTTTAAACATATTAAAATCCAATGAAATTAAAAATCCAATTTCTCATTTGTCTGAGCTACGTTTCCCAAGTGCTCAGTAGCCACATGTGCTGGTGGCTGCCCTTTCAGCAATTGCAGACACAGAACATTCCCATCACCCCGGTGAGCTGACCTGGACAGTGCTGCTGTAGAGAATTGTGAAATTACAAGGCCATAAAGTTTCTCAGGAGTAACAGAAGTCCTATTTTTACCAGGCAGAAAAGATTACTAAGTGCTTATAGAAGTCTTGGGAGGGGACCTAGGGATGGCATGAAAATGAAGTGATCAAACCCAAACTTCCGATGCCATAAGAAAGGAGTTTAGGAAAAGCTCTCTAAGCTCAGAGTTACAGGCTCTGCCATCACTGGTCAGTGATGTGATAAAGAGAGCCAAAACTTTATTTTTGGATTTGTCTAAATGTTAAAAGAAATAAATATTTTTGGCTTGATGGGCCCTGTGATCTCTGTTGCAGCAACTGCTCAATTCTGCCTTGGTAGCACAAAAACATCCATGGAGATAGGTAAACACATGGGCATGGCTGTGTGCCAATAAAACTATTTATAAAGACGAATAGCAGGTGGGCTTTGCTGAGCCCTGGAATGGAGAGCGTTCCATGTCGCAATGTTCTTGTGCTGGATTTCCCTTCCCCAGCATGGTGGGGGTGGTCCTTGCTGAGTCAGGATACGTATGCTGTCTTAGGAATCAGTCACCTTTGAGGATGTGGCAGCAGGCCTCGTCCAGGAGTGGGCATTGCTGGATGGTGTGTGGAAGAACCTGTACAGATATGGAATACTGGACAACTGTAGGACCCTGGCTCCTAGGGGTAAGGCTGGCACTAAATGCTTAAATTCTGTATGCTTAAGCACCTGCAACATGACCACAAAGATACGGTGTAGGCTTCATGGTGTGTACCGTTCACTGGTTTCCACAGGGTAACAGAACGCCATCTGTTGCATTGACTTAATTCTTTCCATTGGCAGGACCTGCGTGGGTCTCATTGACCTTGGCTTTGGCTTTAGGGCTTAGAGAACATCAGCTCTGTGGGGGCAGAGAGGAGGGTGTTTGTGATTTGGGCCCTTGTTAAAGAGCTTCACTGAGTTTATTAGAAATTGGGTGTGGTCACTTTGAAGGATTGTACCATTCAGCATCTTGAGCTGAAGTCCATGTGGAAGCTGGGTGGCCATAGAAGCTGGATGGCCGATGGGAAGTGTTTGTTTTTCTCTGCAAGTCCTCCCTTACTCCCCAGCTCCCTCAGCGTGTATGTCTTTCTCTGTGAGCAGGGACACCACCATGCAAACCCAGGCTTGCCTCCCAGGTGGACCCAAGAGAAGAGTTGAGGGCAGCAGAACGAGGCACTCTCCATGCCATGGGTGTGGGTGAGTATCAGGTGATGCAGGGATCTTGTGACCCACCCTAGTATGGGGGCAGTGTGCAAGGAAGTGTCAGTCTTGGAGCATTTTAAAGGCTCTCTATTTTGAGGGAAAATAAAGCTATTTGGTGTGAGATTTCTCAAGGGAGTTTCTTGAGCTTTTCTTCTGTTTTTCACATTCTTGCTCTTTGGTCTCAGAAAAAGATATGTTCCAAATATCCTTTTTTTAAAAAAGGTTTTTTAAAAAATTACTTTATTTTTAAAGAGGGGGAAGGGAGGGAGAAAGAGAAAGAGAGAAACATCGATGTGGGGAGAAACATCAGTTAGTTGCCCCTTGCATGCCCCCAGCTGGGGACCTGGCCCGCAACCCAGCCATGTGCCCTGACTGGGAATCAAACAAGCAACCCTTCGGTTCTCAGGCTGGCACTCAGTCCATTGAGCCACACCAACCAGGGCCCAAATTTCCTTTATTGAAAAAATTGTAATATTCACAAACAACAAAATTCAACTATTTAAACTGTGCAATTCAGTGGCTTTTAGTATATTTACAAAATTGTGCAACTATCACCTCTACCTAACTCCAGAACATTTCCATCACCTCAAAATGAAACCTTATGCCTGTTACCAATCATTTTCCACCCCCACCCTGCCCGACTCCAGCCCTTGGCAGCCACTAATCTGCTTTCTGTCTCTATGGATTTTCCTGTTTTGACATTTCATATAAATGACACCATGCAACGTGTGGCCTTTGGTATCTCTCCTCCTTCACTCAGCATAATGTTTTCGAGGTTCATCCATGTTGTAGCATGTACCAGTATTTCATTATTTTTTTAAGGCTGAGTAATATTCCATTCAATGGATGGCCCATGTTTTGTTTGCCCATTCATCTGTTGTTGGACATTTGGGTTGTTTCTACTTTTTGGCATTGTGAATAGTGCTGTTATGAACATTCACGTACAACATTTTATGTGAATGTGTTTTCAGTTCTTTTGAGTATACTTGAGTGGAATTGCTGGATCATATGGTAACCCTATGTTTAACTTTTGAGGAACCGCCAAACTGCTTTCTAAAAACAGGTACACCATTTTATGTTCCCACCAGCAGTGGATGAAGATTCTAATTTCTTTACCTTCTTACCCACACAGATTACCCAATTCCTCTTTGAGTGGAACATTTTTATGTACATTCTTTGTCTAATTGCTTCTTACTTGTTTCTCTGATAGCCCTCTCTTTCAGTCTCATTTCCTATAGAATCTTTTGCAGGGAAAAATAGCCTTTCATTTCCCCCTTGTTCCTGTCACTCCCGAATTCCATACATAGCTCTACTCACTTTGCTCACTGACGCCTTCTTCCTTTTCAGTACCTCCCCAAGTTTAGGTCAATATTTTTATTTTTTTAAAGATTTTATTTATTTACTTTTAGAGAGAGGGGAAAGGAGGGAGAAAGAGAGGCAGAGAAACATCACTGTGTGAGATACATTGATCAGTTGCCTCTCACGTGCCCCCAACTGGGACCTGGCCTCCAACCTAGGCAGGTGGTCTTACTGGGAATCGAACCAGCAACCTTTTGGTTTGCAGGCTGGTGCTCAATTCACTGAGCCACACCAGCCAGGACAATATTTTAATTTTTTAAATTTATTTATATATATATTTATTTTTTATACATATATTTTTCCATTACCATTTAGTCCCCTTAGGTTAGTATTTTTAAAAACCTATTTTTTTCTTTGTCAATTTCATACCACTATTTCTTTCTGAAAAAAAAATTTCCTTCTTTTTTTTTTTTTTTCCACTTTACTTTAGACCAGGAATCTCAACCTAAACCCAAAGAGTCTACTCCTATGCAGGATGTTTTGGAGGAAAATTCATCCCACTCTTTGCAAATGGTAAGATTCACAGAGGGTGATCATTTATTCTTTCTCATTGGAGAAGGTGAGGAATATGTGAGTTGAACATGCACCCCAGGGCTGACATTTGAGCTAGGGCACGTCCTCAAGAGTGTCCCCTCACCACCCAGAGTCTGAGGGGACGCTGTGACTATAACTGAATACAGCTATTCACATAGGCTATGACTCATTAATTTGGGTAAATGCCAGCTGTTGCTCAAGACTCCTTCTTAGATGGTTCTCCCAAGTAAACATTTCCATCAATGTGAGTCAGACATTGATTGTGTGAAAGGTGATTTACTCTGCCACAATCATGAGAAACATGCTGTCTGTTAGGGAAGCTCCAGGAAGGTTACGAATGAGAGAAAGCCTGGTGGTGGAGCCTGCAGTGTCCTCAAAGGACTCATCCTGTGTAAACAGGGTGCACCTCTTAAAAAGCTGAAAACTTCCTCTGGTGGGAGCATCCCTGGGCGTGGCATGCATCCTGGGAGCTTTTTGTCATCATTCACCCTTTGCCAGGGGCAAACTCTGCCTGGAGAGAAGGCACCTGATGATTTAACTGCAGCAGGCAAGGCTTCTGGAGGAATGATACCTGGATGTGAACAAGAGAACCTACAGGAGAGAGGGCCAGTCTGATTTTAAAGAATGTGGGGAAGTTATCAGAGCCCAACAAGTGGATACTTGTTGAATGAAGGAATGAACAGATAGGTGTGGGTAAAGGCATCTCCAGGTCCCCACCGTCTCCTTGTCTTTTTTTCTTTTTTAAAGATTAGTTTTAGAGAGAGGGGAAGGGAGGGAGAAAGAAAGGGAGAGAAACATTGATTGGTTGCCTCTTGCATGGGCCCCAACTTGGGACCGAACCTGCAACCCGGACGTGTGCCCTGACTGGGGATCGAACTGGCAACTGACCTTTCACTGTGGGTGGACCATGGGAGGTGGGGAGAGTTCCACGATGGACAGGTCCTCTCTGGTTTCTGTGGCTCTTCCCTCCCAGCACGTGGCTCCAGCACCTTCGCAGAACTCCAGTCCAGCTCAGTAGTGGGCTTTGAGTGTGGGAGAAGAGGGGCCTCTCTTACTGCATCTAACCCCCAGGAAACAGGCGGTCACAGAATGTTCTGAGTGGGCAGAGGACATCCACTTCCAGACACATGTGGAGAAATCAAGTAGTTCATTCCTAAAGACACATAACCCTCAACTGGTCGAGCTGGATTTGGAGCTGAATCCAGGCTTAACTCCTGAGACCACCATCTCAGCCACCAGGATATACTGCCTGAGGTCACACAACCTGCCACTTGGTTGATGGTGCTGACTCTTCAGCTCGCCTTCTAAGCCATTCCTGTGTCATCAAGTCTCATCCTAATCACTGAGGCCGACCGTGGCAGTTCTGAGGTCTCCCTGTCGCATGGGAGCAAGTGCTAATGGCCAGGGCCAGACCGAGGCCCTGAAGCCTCCTTCGTGGTCAGCTAGGCCAGTGGAGGGACTGGGAATCGCTCGTAGAAGAGCCCTAAATTAGGAAACTGAGGAAGGGGTACCCCCAGGCTCAGTCTTCCTATGCCGCTTCCCTGCAACACCCAGCTCCTAGAGGCTGGGCACTTTTGTTCTTGGCTGGATCCCTAGTGTCCACGCTAACAGCGCTCAGTCAGTACGTTGAACAAGTAGGCTATACTCCTAAAAAGCTTATTATTTACGAAGAAGAATCTGTGTCAAAATTACTTAGATGAAAACGTTTGTCTCAAAATGTACCCATTAACTAATGGAGGTGACTGATGACAGAGAGGCCAGTGCCACAGACATTTTCTGACTCACATTTCTTCCACAGAGAGGGCTTGCCATGCCAATGGGGCCACACAGGGAAAGTGTCAGGTCAGTGAGGAGGTGAGGGAGGAGTTTAGGTCAGAGCCTGTATGGGGGTTTACCCAGGGTAGGATAAACAGGATTGGTGAGTTTGAATACTTCTGGGGGACTTTGGGCACAGGGGCTGCCCCTAGTTGTCTGGTACCCAGCCTGGGTGAGTTAGGGTGCGAGAGTATTGGTTTGCGTGAGAGGTGGCTAAGGAGGTGGTTCTGGGTGGCAGGGGAGATGTAAACAGCTGTGCCCGAGAGTTTGGCCCTTCGATGGATATCAAATAGGCAAATACAGACCATGGTTCATATTCAGGACCAATGGCTTCCAATCTTTCTGTGGTCAAATGTCTGGTAGTCCCTCTCAGGGCCTGTGGCCTAACCTCCATCCAGGGCCCCCCAGAACCAGAAAGGGGTCAGGTCCATCATGATCTGCCCTCAGACCCTTGGAGACCCTTGGTGGTGGCTGGTGCCCTCAGTGGAATAAAACAATCACCAGGTCTGGAACTGCCTGACCCATGTGCTCTGACTTCTGACTTCACCACCCCTAAATTGAGGGTCTCTGAGGCCGAGAACAGCCTCAGTGCTACCTATGTCCCTCTCAGCATTCACTACGCCTTATTTTTAGGAGCTGGGGCTCGACCTGAGGAAGGAGACCTGGTCCATGATGGGGGAGAGGGGGATACTTTCAACCCCAGAGGACCAGCCAGCTCTCTGGGAGTCGACTTGGCCTTCTGGATACACGGTAAGCCTGGGAGGTGGTTTGCTGCAGTGGCCTCGGCCAGTAAGGCCTGTGGTTCAGGGTTTTGCTGTTAATGAGGCTGGAAGGGAGAGAGCCATTCAGGGCCTGCTGTTGGGAACTGGGAACATGCTAGAGCCCCAGGCGTAGCTCCTGATAAGAACTGAACAGGCCCTGGAATTTCTGCATGGAAGGCAAACCTTGAAGATGTCAGGTGGCAGTAGTTACCTCCCTGGCCCTGCCTCTCTCGGTCCAGCCTGCCTGCCTGCCTTCGATCTTACTGTCCTCACACCGATCCTGTCTGTGGCCAGGAAACTATAGGAATGAGTGAGTCATATGATCTGAGGGCTCCACGAGGAGTGTCCAGGGTGGTGACTAAGAGTATTTGAGAGGGACACTTTAGGGTGTGCCCCATCCCGAGAAGAAGAGGCCTCCTACCTGCCCCTACCTATTACCTTCCCTCAGGAACCTGTTGCATTTACTTCCCACCCACCACCGAGTCCTAGAGCTTTCCCGCCAAACTGTACCCTGCCTCTGACTGCCCCTCCTGTCCCCACTGTCACCACCCTGGCCAGATTCACCATTAGTCCTGAACGCCCCACCCACCCCAACCGGGACTGCTCCCAATAGCCTCCTGCTTCCAAGGTCCGCCCTGGACACGGAGGCCAGAGGCATCCCTTAGAGGGTGCAAGTCACGTCAGACTCCCCAGGGAGCAGCCCCCGGTAGAGCGGCGTTCAAGTCCTTCCTCCCACAACGGGGTGTCCTTCCGGAGAGGACTGTCTAACTCCCCCGATTGGCGCGGGTCCACCCCGCACCCTCCCTCTACCCCCAGCCTGCTGGCTCCCCTGCCCGCGGGGCCCCGGAGTCTCCTCCCGCTCTGGGGCCCCTCCGCTCTAGCCTGCCAGGAGTTGCAGTCCTTGCAGAATTCGGTAGATCTGGGCTGGTAACCAGGGCATGTCGTTTTACCAGTATGTTCCCCAAATGAGGACCCGCCATGCAAAGTCAGTCAGAGCGAGCAGGTGTGAGCGGATCCCATGGACCACCGTGCGACTCTAACCTGTCCCTGTCACTCTGTCCAGGGGCTGAAGGCGGCTGTGCAGGCTCAAAGGGTGGCCGCACCGGACCCTGCACTGGGCATCCCAGACCCCCGGGTGGCCAGGGGTCCCGGTGAGTGAGTACCGGGTGGAATCACAGTCGGAGGGCCTGGCTTTCCTGGGGGACTCGCGTCCGCAGCCTTCGTTTCCTCTGACTGCAGGCAGTGCCCGGCCCCTTTGGGAGAGGATGCGTAAGAGCCTCTCGTGACCTGTGCGTTCCAGGGGAAGGCACTTTCAGGATCCTCAGCTTCTCTGTTTTGGTGGGTCCCAGATCCTTCTGTTAAGAAAGAGCAGGCCCAACTCCTCTGTGGCAAAAGGCCAGACCTCTCTCGGGAGAGATTAAATTCTTCAGTGCACCAATATGACGGTGGCGGAGATTCGGGTTGAATTCACTATACGTGGCACATGTTTTAACCGAACTTTAGGAAAATGAGGTTCAAAGGCACATTTACTGAGAAGTAGGGAAAAAATTCTGGAGGACCAGTAACACCTTAACTTTTAAGTCCAAGCTCTGGATTAGATCTTAATTGCTAGATCATTTAGTTTGTACAGAGGTGCTGTTTGGAGAAGGTTTGGAGAGAGTATTTGAGGCCTGGGAACAGCCTCTGGAAAACCCCTCCCTCAGGGGCAGAGAGAGCCTGGCGTGCGGAAGGGCGCACGGCCGTCTGTGGGAAGGGGCGGCCAGGGACGTGGGGAGAGTGGGATGAGCTGCCCGAGAGGGAGGGGGCTGCAGAGCATTCTGGGCCTGGGAGCGTGGCGGGAGGACCCTGGCTCACATCCTAAGGCTTCTGGGAGCTAGGGTCACATTGAGGTGAGTGGGCCACGCACCTGTGGTTCTAACTGAGCCCTCCAGCACCTGGTGGGCGTGAGCGGTGGTCGAAGGCCGTCGGGAATGCAATGGTGGCGGCCCAGACTTGGGGTGAGTATGGAGTGGATGTGGTGGGGGCCCCAAGACCACTCCCAGGTTTGATGACTTACTGGGAGGGCTCGCAGGGCGCACCACACAGCTGTACGCATGGCCATGGTTTATTGTAGGGAAAGGACACAAAGCAAAAGCTGCCAAGGGAAGCAGTGCATGGGGTGAAGACTGGAAGGAACCAGGCACAAGCTTCCAGAGCCCTCTCCCAGCAGATTCACACGGGATGCACTTAATTCCTCGCAACGTGCTGGAATAACGCGTGTGAGGGCTTGTCTGCCAGGGAGACTCAGTAGAGACTCAGGACCAGGGATTTCACTCAAGCTGGGCACGTGTGCGCGCTCTGACTCCTAGATGGAGAGCAGGCATGGAGCACAGACTGCGTTGTATGGACAGTTTAAGCAGAGTGACCTCTTCTCATCAGTTAGGGCAGTGGGAACCCTCTTGAAGTCCAGGTTCCAGACACCAGCCAATGTCCAGCCCTGTCACCAGCCTAGCTAAGGAACACAGTCCGGCCTGCTGTGTTCACTCCCATCCGCACAGTCGGTAAGCACGGAACAGTCATTGTAAGACATGAAGGAGGTCAAGTTGAGACAATTCCTGTGTCTATACATTTACCAGATGATCCAGAGCATTTATGTGCCAAGATAGTGCAGGGGACAGGGTTGTAGCATCTAATTCACGAGGAAGTGACATGTAAGTGGATCCGATAGGGAGGGTGGTGTGATGTCGCACAGCCATGGCGAGGGCTGGGCCGGGAGGAAAGGAAAAGGGTGGGTGGGGTTGGTGAGAGGTGGGCGCTTCGTGTAGAGAGGCCACTGCTGCTTTTTTTGGATTAGCTGTTGGGGTGTGTAGAGTGTCAGAGAGAGGTGAGATTTCTTTTCTGAGGCAGGGACACTGGAAGAGGAACAGGCTGAATGCATGTTTTTTGGGGGGGCAGTAAAACAACAGAAATTTGTATCTCACGGTTCTGTGGGCACAGAAGTTGGATATTGAGGTGCCGGCAGGGTCATGCTTCCTGTGAAATCTGGAGCTGGGGTCCTCCCTTGCCTCTCCCGGCCTCTGGTGGCTGTGGCCTCCTTGGTGTTCCTTGGCCTGTAGACTCATCAGCCCAATCTCTGCTGTGTGGCCACATGGCCGACTCCCTGCTTGTGCCCAATTCTGTGTCTCTCTTCCTTTTTTGGAAGGACACCGGTCATTGGATTGAGGGCCCACTTTACTCCACTGTAACTTCATCCTAACTCATTACATCTGCAAAATCCCTGTTTTCATTTAAGGTCACATCCTAAGATACCAAGAGTTAGAACTTCCTCTTATATTGGGGAACACATTCCAACCCATCACAGTCTACCCTCGTGTTCCCTCAAATTCATGTCCTCCCCACATGCAAAGTACATATACATGATCCCAACATTCCTCAAATTGTTTTCCCATTCCGGCATCAATCCAAGTCTAAAATTTCATCTAAATCTCATCAACTCAGAAACTTACAGATTTCATCATGCAAATCATCCAAATCAGGTATGAGAGTTAGACTCAGGGTGTGGTCTAGTCTGGGGCCAACTGTCTCTCCATCCGTGAACCTGGGAAAGCAGAGAAGGACATCTCTGCGTCCAGACACAAGAACAGAACAGGCTTAGGACGGACAATTCCATTTCTCGTGGGAGAGAAGAAAGGGGTCCTGGGTCCCAAGCCAGTTCAAAACCCAGCGGGGCGAGGTCAAGGCCGAGAAGAACCCTCTGAGGCTCGGGGCTCTGCCCTCCGCCTGCTGGGGCGACAGCCCTGCCCTCTGGCTCGTTCTGGATATTCCATCGTGTTCCCCAGATAGGCAAGTGGAGAGAGTGGAGCCGAGGGTTGGGTGCCTGGGGCTGGGGTTCTGGTGCGAGTGAGCCTGGGGATCTGGGCCTTGTGAAGTAGAGCTGGGAACTGATGCCCCGAGGGGCAGGTTGCCAGCTGAGGCAGAGGGGACTGAGGGGTGAGAAGAGGAAGGCCTGCCACCCGGGGAAGAGAGCCGGAGGCGAGATGAAGAGAAGCTTCTACGAAAGACCGAGATGGGGGCTGGGTGTGTGGGCGGTGTGTGTCCCCGTGAGTGTGTGCACAGAGGTGTGTACACACGTGGTCACTCACCGTCAGGGTGGACAGTCCTTTGGAGTCTGCGTGAGCTCGCTGGGCCTCACAGCTCTCTTCTCCTCTAGCCCTGCCTGCTCGGTCCCTTGCGTGGCTGCAGGAGGAGAACGTGGAGGAAGAAGCTGTGGTTCCCAGGGTGCCATCCACCTGTGTACAGGTAAGGAAGAGATCCTTGTTGCTTTTCTTTCTTGATTTGCGCCTTTTCCCCTTCCCATGGCCTGGAACTTCTCGACCCCACAGGGCTGTTGTCCGGGCAACAGGCTCTGGGCCTCTCGCAGTGGGTGCAGGGCAGACCAGGTGGTGACATCGCCCCCAGTCAGACCTTCCTCAGGCTGTCATATGCCAGGTGCTGCTGAGTTTCAAGAGGGAAAACAAGGCAAGGGTTGAGCTGTCCTGGTTTCATAACCTTTACGGTCTCCTCCTGGAGCAAACCTCTCTCTCTTGCCTTCAGTTGGCTCAGGTCTGCTGGACCCCGGGGCTGGAGGGGAATAAAACTGCAAAGGCTTCCTGGCTAGTTGTCCACAGCTAAGTCCTGTCACGAAGTTGAGGTCCTTTGACGCTATGCCTCTGGATGCTATCCCTGTGTGAGAGAAGAGTTCTCGTTTTGAGGCCTACGCCAAAAGGCCAATTCTGAGGAAGCTCGGAGCCCCATCTGAAAATCCTCCGCATGTCGCTTCCCTTCCCCGGGCTTGCCAGCCCCCGTCACCCTCTTGAGTATCGGCAGAGGTGGCCTCTGACTGAGCCTGGTGGGTGTGCATTTTAGGAAGCAATCACCTTTGCAGATGTGACCGTGCTCTTCACCCTGGAAGAATGGAGGTTTCTAGACTCTGCGCAGAGAAGGCTGTACAGAGACGTGATGCTGGAGAACTACAGGAACCTGGCCTCAGTGGGTAAGGCTGGTCTCATTGCTTCATGTACACACTCAGCGCAGCAAGTGTGGGTTCCTGGAACTGAGAGGTGAAAGGACAGAGAAGTCCTGCCATCATGGTGCTTATAGTCTAGTGGCTTCCCCGTGGAAATGAAGGTCTGTCTGCTGTGTTAGGGTCTCAGACACATCCCTGAGTAAGGCCCTAGGTTTTGGGGCCCAGAATGTTGCACTGTCCTCGGGGACCAGTGAGGGAGCTTCGTTCTTAGTGGAAGAGCTGCGCTGTGCCCATCAGGATTTTGGCATGTTCATTTCACTATTCTCCCAGGTGTCCCTAAAGACTGCAGACTGTCATTCCTGATTTTGGGACAAGTGCAGTCTGCTCACACCGTGTGTCTTCTCCCACAAGCAGGAGGTCAACTATGCACACTCAGTACCTTTTCCTATTTGGAGCAAAGAGAAACAGTGTGGACCACTGAGAGACATATCTTGCCAGAAGACCGAAGAGGTGAGCCCCAGGCAGGTCATGGCAATGCCAGCTCTGATCGGTCAGGTGAATGTTAGATTTGGAATGTGTCAGTAAGGGAAATGCTTTCAACATCTGTGACAGAGAAGGCTGTCGATTGAGCTTCCTTAGTGAGTTTTACTTTTTTCCCCTTTCCCCTTTTGTCTTTTTATCTCTGATACTTTACAGTGGTTTCACTGAATGATTTATCCTACCCTCTCTTCACAATCTGCATTTCCATTTGAATTTCTATTTATATAGTTCATCCACTTTCTCCCTTCTCTGTACACTTAATGTTTTTCCTCCTTAATTCATTTCAGAACCCCAACTTCAATCCCAAGAGTCCTTTCTTAAACAAGATATTTTTGCAGAGATTCCATCCATTGTTATGCAAAAGGTAAGATACACAAAGACTATTCTTGGTCCTCTATGATAGGAAAAATCTGGGTTTGTTGTTGTTTAGAAAAACAGCACTAGAAGCTAGAGAGAGATTGAAGGCAAGGGGTGCTCACCAAGGAAAAAGCTATTTCTTGGAAGAGAGTCTGCAAATGTCGTGAAGTGAGAGAAAACTTGAAACACAGATCAAGATGCATATTCCCGGAGTTCTCACACCTAACCATGTTCTTATGGGGCACATACATAGTGCATTTAAAACTTAGTAAAACTGTAACTGACAAGCTTGGTGGGTTCGTTTGGTGTGAGAGATAACTGATTGATATTTCTCTCCCTCTCTTTCTCCCTCCTTCCCCTCTAAAAAGAAATGTATGAATGAATGAATGAATGAACAAATAAACTTATTGTAGCCTTAAATGATTCAGAAAAAGTCTATATCTAAGAAGCCCTGTGAAAGTAATGAAAATGATAGCTTTTTGAGGCATCGCATCCACTTGACAGAACTTATGGTAGATATAGTACAGACATGTTCAGCTGTAGTTCAGCTGTAGAAATGTCTTGATTTTGGTACGCAGTTCACTTGGAGAAGAATTTTGATTGTAATGAAGTCTTTGCTCTTTGCATTTTCCTCATTTGACGGGAGCAGCCTCCACCTGGAGGAAACTTCTGCTGTTATAATGAACTTGGGAAACCCTTCACCAGCATTAAACAGCTTTTTCAGTATGAGAGAATTCATGCTGGAGAAAACCTCTATGAGTGCCAAGGTGGTGAGAAAACCTTCCAGACTACTCAACTAATAGTGGGTGAGAAGATTCTTAGTGGAGATAAAACCTACGCCTGTAACAAATGTGAAAAATCCTTCAAATACAGCTCGGACCTTACCAGGCACGAGAAGACCCATACCTCAGAGAAGTGCTTTGAATGTCAAGAGTGCAGGCACGCCTTCAAGTACTCCTCAAATCTGCGGCGTCACATGAGGACTCACACAGGAGAGAAGCCCTTTGAGTGTAGTGAGTGTGGGAAAACCTTCACGAGGAACTTCAACCTGATTTTGCACCAGAGAAACCACACAGGTGAGAAGCCCTATGAGTGTAAGGACTGTGGGAAAGCTTTTAATCAGCCGTCCTCTCTGAGGAGCCATGTGAGAACTCACACTGGAGAGAAGCCCTTCAAATGCAGTCAGTGCGGGAAAGCCTTCAGGGAACATTCATCCCTGAAGACTCATCTGCGGACTCACACGAGAGAGAAACCATATGAATGCAACCAGTGTGGGAAGCCCTTTCGGACGAGCACTCATCTGAACGTTCACAAGAGGATCCACACGGGGGAGAAACTTTATGAGTGTAAAACGTGTGGTCAGGTGTTGAGTCGTCTCTCAACTCTGAAGAGTCACATGCGAACCCACACTGGAGAGAAGCCCTACGTGTGCCAGGAGTGCGGGCGAGCCTTTAGTGAACCTTCGTCCCTGAGGAAACACGCGAGGACCCACACTGGCAAGAAGCCCTATGCGTGTCAGGAATGTGGGCGAGCCTTTGGCCAGTCCTCACACCTCATCGTACACGTGAGAACCCACAGTGCAGGGAAACCCTATGAATGTGATCAGTGTGAGAAAGCCTTCAGGCACAGCTCTTCACTTACCGTGCATCAGAGGACTCACACCAGGAGAGAAAATGTGAGAAATGGAGGCCTGCCTTTATCAGTGTCACATTCGTTTGGTGGGCTCCTTGCTAATTAACTTCCAGTTTGTGAAAAGAGAAGCATTTGGGCCTATGATCATCTCTCATAGTACTCGTTTTGCTACATCACATGTTTTGGTGCCGAATTTCATTTTTGCTTGATTTTCAATATTGTCTTAGTTGCCATTATCATTAAATCTTTGACACATGACTTATTTGGAATTAGGTTTTAAAACAGCTGTACATGGTCATATTTTTGGAGAAGTTTAATTACTTATACTAGAACACATAAATCTTATGAGTTGGATGAGTTTGACATAAGTATACATATAGGTAACCAACACCCCATTCATGATATAAAACATTTCTGTCATCCTGGAAAGTTCCTGCATATACTGGGAGTTTTATAGTTGCTGGCTTATACTTTAATTACATTGTTAGCGGAGTATGTGGTCTTTGTTTTATTGAATCTTAGCTATTCAGATTTGCTTTTGGTCTAGTATGGCATATTCTACTAGTTGCCTACCAAAGCTGCCCCTCTTCCTTACAATGAAACTTAGGTGTCTTTAGTCCAGATTGGTAACGTACACTATGAAAACCCTCCATCTCCCAGCCCTTCTTGCAGCTGGAGGCAGCCACGGCCCCAGTTCAGGTCAGTACAAGAGGTAGCTGGATGTGACTCCTGGGAAAGAGGTTAGAGAGGAGTGGTTTCATGGAACCAGATCCATCCACTTGGCTTCCATGAAAACAGACATGCTGTCCAGAATAGGGGGGCCATCCTGGGACCATGAGGAGAGAAGCCACAGGCTAAAGAGAGAGGGCCAGGGGTCACAGCCATTCTGGTTTCCCAGCTGGAGTCTTTATGTGTCTGCACCAGCCCTGCACTGTTCATCTCTGAACATCTTAGTCGGTAAAAAGGATGCACTTCTTACTGGTATGTGACATGGGCCCTTTGGAGGAGGGAGGTGGACTGGGGAGGGCAGGGAGGGGCTTATTCCAGTTGAATACAGTTTCTAACTGATACACTTAGTACACAGTCAGTTTGTGTAGTGCTTCGTGGGTGGCTGAAATCAATGTATTTTACATGTCTACTAAATAGAGCATATTATTGGTGTTTCAAAATCTTTTGCGCCTTAATTAACATTGGTCTCTGTCTTAGCTCAGGCTGGTATAACAAAAATACCAAAGACTGGGTGGCTTATAAACAACAGAAATTTATTTCTCAGTTCTGGAGCCTGAAAGTCCAAGTCAGAGTGCTGGCAGATTTAGTTCCTGTTGAGAACCTGCTTCCTGCTTCCGAGATGGTCAGCTTCTCTCTTTGTTCTCACATAACAGGAGTGAGGGAGCTTTCTGAGGTCCCTTTTATAAGGAAATAATCCCAACCGCTAAGGGGTCCACACCCATAACTATCACTACCAAAGGCCCCACCTCTAGATACCGTCCCATTGTGGTAGGCTTTGTATGTGAAGTTTGGGGGACTTACACATTCAGTCATTGGAGTCTCTGATCTATCTTTTATTGAAAGAGCTATGTTGAATTTTCCTACCATGATTGTGGGTTTCTGAATATATCTTGTAATTTTGTCAGTTGTTAATTTTATATCTTAAAGCAATGAAAATAAAAGCAATTTAAAAAATTTTTTATTTTTTTAGACATAGTGGAAGGGAGGGAGAAACATCAATATGCATGGGAAACATTGACCACTTGCCTCTTGCACACCCCCAACTGGGGACCTTGCCTGCAGTGCAGGCATGTGTCCTGACCAAGAATCGATCCTGCGACCTTCAGATTTGCAGGACAATTCCCAGCTCTCTGAGCCAAACCAGTCATTGCTGATTTTTGATATTTTACAAGTTTCTAGCAAATTCTTTCTTAAATGACCATCTTTCTCTCTAGCAATGAATACTGAATCATTCATCATCATAATCGGAAGTAATTATTTAGAGCTTAATATTAATTGATAGTATTTCCTTAAGCTTTGTATCTTTTGAGTTATTTAGTCCCCACAATGATACTGAGGGAGGTTCTTTATTGTCTTCAAATCACGGATGAGGAGGTTGAGGCCTGGCAGGAGGAGGTGAATTAACTGAGGTCATGCAGGTGGTAAGTGACAGAGTCTGGCTCCAAGGTACACCCTCTCCACAGTGCTTTGCCCAAGGAGGCTATTCTTCACTTTTACCCGTCCTCACAGAGGTCTGTTTTTATGTTTTAAATGAGGTATAACTTATGAAACAGCTCATCAATTTTAGTGCACACCTTGATGAATTTTACACATGTCTGTGCCACCACATGAAGATATGAAATATTTTGTCTCCCAGTTGGTGAGCCCCGTCCCTAGAGGTCACCCGTATTCTGAGTTCTAGCACCGTAGATTAATCTTTCCTGCTCACAGAAATGAAACCTCACCGTACGCTCTCTTGTCTGTTTTTTACCTTAGTATATAGTGTCCATGAAATTTATCTTTGTCACATTATAAGTAGTTGATTCTTTATAAAAATTGCTGTGTAATTTTCCATCATCTGAATATTCCAGAAAGTTAAAATTCTACTCTTTATGGACATTTGGGTTCTTTCCAGGTTGTACTGTTGTGAATAAAGCTGCTGTGAATGTTCTAGTGCAAGTCTTTCTGTGGTCATGTTCTCCTTTCTCTTGGGTATAAACCTAGGACAGGCACTGCTGGGGCATTGGGCAGGCATGTCTGTAGCTTGAGTGGATACTGCCAGACAGTTTTCCAAAAATGGTTCATACGCTTTATACTTCCATCATCAATGAATGAAAGTGTTACTGCTATGCATTCTCAACAACACATGCTACTGTCAGTCAGTGCATTTTTAGCTATATTAGTAAGTTGTTTCCTGTGTTGTAATTCACAATTTTTTGAAGGTTTATGAATAATGCTGTAGATGGTTGCAATGATTTCTTCCATTCTTCTATGGACATCTTTTTTTCAAAGTACCTCTTCTGCACCTGTCAGGAGTTGGAGTTTATTTCTTTACTCCTTGAATATAAGCTTGATCCCATGGTTTTGGCCAATGGAACGTTATTGAATAAGATGGAAACAGAAACTTGGAAAATGCACATTGGGGTTTGCCCTGTTTTAGCTGTGGTTAAGACTCTTGAGAGCAAGGTGTGAAGAAGCCTGGGTCAGCCTCCTAACTAGAGGCCACAGGGAGAGCGGGCTCTTGCTGGTGGTCAGCACCTACCACCAGTCATGTGAGTGAAGCCACCTTTGATCCTCTGGCCCCAGGCAAGCCACCAGGTGACTAAAGTTGATGAGTGACCCTAGGTGAGGCCATGAGAACTGCCCAGCTGAGCTCAACTCAGATTGCTGATTCACAGGATCATGACTACATGAGGTGGTTGTGTCAGGATAGAAAACTATGGAAGTTTGTATCAGAAGGAGGATGCTGCTGTAACAAACTGTGGCATAGACTTTAGAATTTGACAGCAAGAAAGCAGCTGAAAAGGAGTGAAGACACTTAATGGCTGGAAATGGTGAAGAAACTGCTTCTGGAGTTTAGGAAAAGGCGACGTGGCAGGGGAACCACTGGCAAAAATGTCGCCTGTGGTAACGTGGAAAAGAGAACATGCACTTGATGACCGTGTGGATCTGGCTGAGGGGAGGCTTCCTCCCAGCTCCGGCCCTGCGCCCCGTCTTCCTCACGAGGGCCTGGTGGTGGCCAAGCAGAGCCTGTAAGCAGGTAAGAACTCGCGCGCCATCTGAGGCTCTGTCTCTCTCCTCTTACAGCAGCCTGCACCTGGCCTTCAGCAACTGGTTAGAACTGTGTTTCTAACAGAACTAGCAGAACTAGCAGAAACCTTACCCTCATGTGTGGTGGTGCTGTCTCCATCCTGTGTCACAGGTGATCAGCACTCTGTCCACCGCTCTTCCCCTAGATTTCAGGCCAGTCAGTGGCTTGTGGCTTGAGCTCTCTGATGGTGTCAGGAAATTTACATTTTTGTTTTTTTACTCAGCTTTTTTGCTGTGGTGGCAACAATGCCCACTGCATTTCTAAATCCAAAGCAGAGGTCAGAGAGGGCATTCTGCCCAAATAACACTGTTCTTAGAATTGTTTATTGGACTTGATCTTCTCTGTAAGTTCCCTGAAGTCAGAGACCACATGAAGCCTGTTCAGTGTGACTTCCACTAAGCCTAGCCCTGTGCTGGATCGAAAACAAGTTTTGGCATGCTTGCTGAGTCTGTATGAATTTGTACACAGGCAGTGCTCCCAGGTGGGGTATGTATGGTCTCTGAGCCCAATAGGCGGCAGGCTCCTGCGAGCTGCTTCCTCTAACCCGCAGAGTCAAAGCCGCTGCCTTGAAATTCATCCCCTCCCTGCATCCTCTACTCAGAGTGGAGAGAACATAGCACTTGGCATTCATGGGGGAGTTAAGAATAGGGAGTTCCTAAGCATCTGGGTCAGCCTGAGGCTGTACCCTTAGACGCTGGGACGGGACAAAGGGAGTGTGTGTGTGAGGATCAAAGATTATCTTAAAGATTGACCCACCTGTCAGACTTTCAAAGGACACTTTGTCCCAGCAGGGGTACTTTAATAATATGAACCAGAAGAGAAGGTGCTGAGCATACTGGAAAGGCCGGCAACAGGTGACACCAAGACGAGCAGGGTTTTAATAAGGTTTGAGACCCTAATTGTGTTATGTTTATTGCCATTTCTTTTGCATTGAAAATACAAACTTTGCCGATAGAAAAGCCATTGGTCGATCCATTTTATTAGATTTAATGACAGCCTACAGAAGTAAGTGGTAGCTAAGAGGCAATACTGCTAATGGCGTCTATTTTCAGTTATGTTTTTAAATCAAAATATGTATGTCAGCTCAAATATTTTCATGCATAGTCTTTTTGCCTCCATTCATAGTATGTTTCTTTCGAAAGTATTTTAATCAAGGCTCTTCAATCAGGAAAAAAATCCATGCTCCTTACTCATGAAGCCTGAGATGGTGGTGGTGCTTCCCTGACGTGGATGGCAGAGGGGAGCCGAGGTGAGAGCCTGTAGGCAGCACACGCCCTCATCACAGGGATTTCATACCAGCTCTGTGCAGTGCCAGGTGGGAGGCCAGCCCTGGATTTGGAGTCCTGTGTTTCCCACAATACGGTGCCTCAGGAAGAGACCATGCCTTTCACCGGAACAATGGTGAGTTAGGGTCAGTCTGCACAAGGCTTTGCTACTTGGTCTCTCAGAGTCCTTGGTTACCTGACCGCTTCAAATGTACATTTTTTTGTCCCTCCACCCTTTCACTCCTATTGCCCCAATTCCCCAAATCAGCTAGCTGCTGTACTACATGCTGGCCCTCAGGGATGGTCAGACTCCAGGAATCCCGGTGTAGGTCTCCTCAAGTCCGCCCTCTGCGCGTCTGAATCCCCAGGTTGACAGATTCCAGTGCAGGAAGAATCCCAGCCCCTGCCAATATTCTAGCCATGTCTATGTCTCTGGAACCTGGACCTGTGATCTTCTGGTTCTGGGTTCAGACTCCAGGACTTTGGCTTGGAGGCTCTGGAGATACCTGACTTCTGGTTTTGAGACTCCAGCAGCTGTGTGACTCCTCAGAAGGGTGCAGGTCGAGGCTGTGATTCTCCCACATCAGCCCCATGACAGCCATGCCCAGTGAGTGTGGGGTGTGAATGATGATGCCCTCATGACAACCCCAATGTTGGCATCTTGATGGAAAAGCCATTTCTTTGGCATCTGGCTGCCTGCTTTATTTTTCCATAGAAATGGACTTTCCCAGGAGATTCCAAATTGTGGAGGTGGAGACCAAGTAGAGACTTGGCCCCCAGCGTAGAGCAGTGTGGGGCTTGTGCTGGCTTCCAAGTCACTCTCCCCAGATACAGAATTCCTTCAGGTGCGGGACTAGCAAGTACCCCTTCCCTAAGATTCTTTCATGGATGTCTAATGCTCC